TGTAGCAACCACCCCTAAGCAACACACATCTGATGGTGGAGAAAATGGTAAGTTGGAAAGTACTGCTTCCTCAGCCCAATTAGACACAACCGATCAGCCATGAGTCATAGCTAAAGAGCAGGTCTTCATTTTCCTTAACCGAGAAGAAGTTGGAAGGTATTCAGAAGACTAATTTATCTGTTTCCATTTCCATTTCAAAAATCTGAATCTCTATTCAGACTCATGAATCTACCTTTTGCTTATACTCTCCTTTGATCCCAGAGGTGAGGAGAAATGTACTTCTAGACTTTGAAACAGAAGTAATTTCTGATGCCAAGTGGGTCAGATGACAAAATGCACAACTGATAAATACTGCCTTTTGCTGTAATTGAAACTTCCACTAAAGAGCACTAATAGAAGCAAAACTATGATCCACAGCAGATGAAATAATAAACTATGGTTTAATTTTACATGTGCATACATTAAGGTCATGTGTCCCCCCTCTCATTACCTCCTTTGGTGCAATCATGAGTAGACATGGGATTTATGTCTCAGGGGATACAAATACGAAACTTGGCACCACAAGTGTGAGGCTGGTCCATTCCTACCCCCAGAACCAGCCCAGTTCACTGCCTAGGCTCCTCACAGAATGCATGTCCATCGGTGGCGACATCTCACCAATCACACACACATAGTCCTGCTGGTGCCTCCCCATCACTCCCTTCACTCAAGTGAGGAGGCAGGAAGATGAGTCTCCCCACTCTGTTGCTGAGTGGTCAGCTGAGGGGAGAGGTGGGGAAGCACCAGCAGGACCACGTGCACTATTGGTACTGTTGTCGCCGCTGTTCAACACGCATGCTGTGAGGTGAGTGGAGGTGGGAATGGACTGCCCTAGCATCTGTGTTGCTGAACTTTGTATTCATATCCCCCAGATACGAATATGAAGCTCCCATGTCTAATCGTGAGCCCACCTTTTGCTTGACCCCAATGAGCATTACTTCTAAATCCTAAACTATGGCTAAGCTTCATTGTGGTTTACTGAAACAAGCTAACTTCATAAATCAAGGTTTTACATTGATAGAGAAAAAAAAATCTGGTCTTCTCAAAGTGCTACACCATGACAATGGTGGTGGCAGAGCATGAAAACCTGAGGCTCATCTAGGCTTTCTTTCTATAAAGCTAAACCATGGAGTGGCCTTGTTTTGAATCAAAGCAAGTGATGGAGATCTATCAAGTGACAAGAAAACTCAGGGAATTCCTAGTGCATTTCTCTTATCCATCTCATATTGTGTTTCTGTATGCAGAACCTTTTAATATTTCCCTGCCTTCTCCTGCACTATACAGCAGAAGCATGAATTTAAGGGACATGCTTTGAAATTTGTCATCTTGATTTAGCAAAAAAAGAACATGATCTTTGTGAAAGGAAGACAAATGTAATGGCTCTTTTCCATCACTGCCTACTCAAAGAATTGTTGCCTCTGTGCATATACACATAAACAGAGAAATAAGTAGGAGCACATAAACTAATTGGCTAATACATTTATATGTACTCAATCTATATGCTATTTGTATTCGCGAAGGCTTTCACGGCCGGGATCTAATGGTTGTTGTGGGTTTTTTGGGCGAAAAACCCACAACAACCATTATATGCTATTGATTGGTGCATGCGTTTGATAAATAATGCATAATTTTTATTTTAAAACAATAGAGGAAATTATTTATTTATTTATTTATTGGACTTATATACCGCCCCATAGCGCTACAAGCACTCTCCGGGCGGTTTACAATTTTAATTATAAAGGCTACACATTGCCCCCCCAGCAAGCTGGGTACTCATTTTACCGACCTCGGAAGGATGGAAGGCTGAGTCAACCTTGAGCCGGCTACCTGGGATTTGAACCCCAGGTCGTGAGCACAGTTTTAGCTGCAGTACAGCATTTTAACCACTGCGCCACGAGGCTCTTAATTCAAAACCAAGTATGCAAACCATCATTTCTATCCCTGAATAGTTAAACAAAAATATGTCCTCTAGCAGGGTAGAGTTTTCACCTGCCACCAAACAAGAGACCATCTGAACCTCTTTGGATAGGACTTTCCACAATGACCACTATAAAGAAGGCTTGAGATCACAGGTGGGCAACTTGCGGCCCTCTGGATATGGGCTGCCATTTCTACCTCCTTTGGTGGTGTCAGGGAATCCACGGTTTTCACAGGAATCTTCATTGACTCCTTCCTCCCACAAGGCATACGGAGGCTTTGTGAGTCAGGGCTCCACATTGGAAAGAAGCCGAAGGTGCACCAATTTATAATAGTTTTCACATCTGAATGCTGCTTGCTTTAATGCATTTAAAAATGATACCATGCTCAGATTTTATTAAAACCACTCACATTGATAAAAAAAAAGCACCTTGCAACTCATGACCAATGAGAACCTTCTGAATGCCCTCTCCGAATGAGGTCATGTTGATAAATGTTCCCTCTCAGCTATTCTCATCTTGCCTTTGTGAATGTGGTATTGGCTTTTTTTGAACCACAATTTCCCATTATCTCTAAATCAAGAAACTCTAATTAAATCCCTATTCATAAACAAGGGTACTCTATCAAATGCTGGTGAACCACGCTGTCTCCACAATAGGCACACAACCTGGAAAGAATAATCCAGATTCTGTATAAAAACAGATTGTGAGGGCACAGATACTTCCTGGAGAAGCGGTTACTGTTCTGATGAATCCAGGAGGCTAGTTTTCACAAAGCCAAATCCTGCAAAAGGATGAGTATAATCAGCTTAGAAATGATCATCTTGTTTTCTCCCTTGTTATCCTAAGGAATTGTGATGGCTAGCTGTATGGCTGAAGCCAGCCTATGAATATTAAACAAGAAGATCAGCAATCCCTTTGCATAGTTCAATATGCACCAAGTCATCTTGACTTATGCCTTCTGCACTTCAACTGATAGGATATATTTTCCAATCAGACAAAACAGATGTGTGTTTTTAACCCAGAAACTTCCTCATTAGCATACTGCGAGATCCACATATCCAGGCTTTCCATATGTACAATGTTACTACTATTTGGCAGGCTTCTGAAAAGCTTAGTTAGTTTTTTTCTCTGTAGCCCCCACTCCCCCAATGCCAGTTAGCATGACACCATGGTGCTACCTTTCTGGTCTCAGGAGATTGTTTGTCTTCCCAAAGTGTAGAGGTCCCAGTTAAGCCATGGTCCTGCCCGTCACCCTCAACAATGGATCCAATGACTGATGAAATAATCAAGCTCCCGTGGGCTGGGAAAAACTGCTACAAATGAAAGCACAGCCACCTGCCCAGACAGAGTGTGATCCTTGCTTAGGTATGAGCTATTCTTTTGGCCACATGGGGAGAGTAGCTGAAGAAAAGTCCTGGAGGCTACCTATACAAATTGCAAAACTGAGCTCTACATGGAGCTATCCAGGGTGCTACTGGGTACAGGAACTTTGCCTTGTTTTGCATTGCCTTACTGGAAACTGAACTTTGCTCGGCTTGGCTACAATGAAGTGGAGACAAATGTTTCATTTCCTTTTGCTGGCCTGGTTGGAATCAAAACAAGTGCACAGAATCTCTTCTCAGTCCCTGCACGTTTTTGACTGAGACAGTGTGTTTCTGGAGGCATGAAACCCACCACATGCCCAAACAGATCTCAGTGGCAGAGCGAGGCTCGGCATTCAGAAGCTGTGCAGAATTAATGTGACATTCATGATACAGCAGCACATGCTATCTCTTTGCTGCCTATTTTCAAAGCTCAGCCACATTTTCTCTTTGGGAAACAGCACCGGGAAGACAGGATCCTGTTCCACATGCAACAGACAAGAAGAGCTTGCTAAAGTTTTCTTTCCCTCTACCATCTGCAGCTGCTTTTCCCTTAGCCCAGCTTTCAGAGCAGTGTTTATGGTAGAAACAAATGTGCACAGATAGGAAAAGTTCACTTTTGGGGACCAGAACACGCATCGGCTAGGAGCTGTTGTCTAAAATGTGGCTCCTCCAAAGTCTGAAGATTCCTCAAGGTTAGGCTGAAAGAAATCAACAACAAAAACAATTGTCCAGGAGGTGTGGTGGCCTGGAAAGTAAAAAGTGTAGGTAAGAAGAGATTTAAGCCCTCACTGTTACACACTGCACCCTGTTTGACAAAGAGTCCTGGAGACAGACAGGTTACGCCTTGCTGTTGAAGGACCTGCTTGCCACCATGGCATTTCTCTGCTCGATTCTAAAGAGTCAGCCCTCAACTGGTCTGCTATGTCTGGGAGCTTTTATTGGATAGGAAATTTTGCAACTAAAAACACATTTTATGCACCGACTAATGAATGCTATGTCACTCATTGATTTGGAACCATGATGTTAGAAAGTTACCACACATAAGCATCATGACTGCACATAAACAGGTGAGTTACTTTACTGAGATTAGCTTATTCAATCAATGTAATAATGTGCTAACCTGGCCAGAACAAGAAACATTTCTGAAATCATTCTCATGCCTTTCATAGATGAGGCTTCTTGGCTAGTCCGTGCTTTGACCCAAACTGGCCATGGATTTCCCAGAACTCCTGCTTGCTAATACATGTCACTTTGAGAAACAACAAGAGCACAAATAGCTTTACATTTCCTTAGAAGTTCTTGAACTTAAAATGCATGAGTTCTGTTTTCAAGATAGGGCCATGCTCTTCATTCTGCTGACTTTGGATATCTGTCCCAATGTCTTCTCCTGGTGGCACCACCATCACTGCAAGAATTACAGGGGTATAGTAGAGAGATGCTAATACCCTATTGTGGCAGCTTTCTTAACTACTAGGGTTTTTTTTTAAGAATACAATCTGGGAAGGTATGATTCAGCTGAAATTCAGAGGGAAACAATGGTGGGTCTTGTGAATTTTCCTTTATATCTGCTACTGGTCACCACCACAAAAGGCATGGACAGGGAACTGAAACTGAAATGCCACATCATTATGATCACAGGGAAAATGTACACCACTGTATTATAATTCAACACACATACCTGTGACAACACTCGGGATTTTTGAGAGAAAGCTTTTGACTGTTCGGATAGGCACTCCACCTGCTTTGTCATCCTGCATTTTTGTAATGATATCTTCTATCTGTTAAACAAGAGGGGGAAAATTACTTTTCAATAGCAAACTACTGTCTTTAGAGACTGAAAATATAAAAACATATTGAAGATTAAAGTAACATTTTCCCATTGTGCCCACCATGTCCACAAAGGAAAATGAGGTGATCTGAAAATACTAGGAAGTTATCCAAGTTAAAAGAGGATGAAAAGGCCGGCCTAATGGTGCAAGTGAAACATGGGTGGGGAGGAAGGGGAGGTAGCTCTTTCCCAGTTATGCCCCCCCAGGACAATCAATGCAGCATCATAGCAAATTGGAGGGGTGGGGAGGAGGTGTTGCAGTAGTCCGTAGAAATGGCATTAGCATTAGCAGGATCCTGTTGTGCCTGAGTCTGAAGTGTTTTCACCTCTTGCTGGACTACCAGGACAGAACGGGTGTACCATTCTCTCCATTACTCAATGCATCTGCCATCAGACCTGATGGAATATTATTTGCTACTGTGTTGAGGTCCCCCTGACTTTTACTCCTAGGGATTTCAACATACATACATACATACATACATACATACATACATACATAACATACATACACACATACACACATACACACACACACACACACACACACACACACACACACACACACACACACACACACACACACACACACACACATACATACAGAGACACAGTTGACTTAAATATCAAGCAGCAAGCAGCATGGAGGCCATAGCTCTATAAACTCCATGTTACAGGACCCATGTTCTTAGTTGGTTCTGACCTTCCTTGATGGCTGATGTACAGCTTAGAGATGCTGCTCTACCCCTTGGAACTTCTGCTATGGGGTCCCACTGAGGTTGACCATCTCCCCAAACCTTTTTAATATCCACATTAAACCGCTAAGATAAACTATAAAGAGATTTAGGATTTCCTTTTGTGAGGAATTTGAAGGAAACTGGGAATTGTAGTCATGAAAAGATGGAGTCTGTTAGGTTCTGTATAAGATGAACTTAAAAGCAATGGAATGTTATGAGACTGTTGTGCAGAGTTGCTTTGCCTGACATGAAGATAAGGAGCGAGGACAAAGAGGCCCAGAGAAGAGACGAAACAACATACCACTATAATTGGGTTAAAAAGAAAAGCCACCTGGTTTGGAATCTTCTCATGTGAATTATGCGTGGTGAATTGTGTTACACCCACTTGGACTTAATTGGTTTACACCTTGGAAAGTGTCATAAGAAGGATGGTCCAAAAGCATGCAGAAAAATAGTTGTTCATGTATGTGAAAGTAATTTCGTTTGTGGGGGATGTTGTGGAATATGAGAGAAGAGAAGTTTGCTTTTTGAAGAAGAAGAGGGGGGAGAAATAGTCCAGCTTCTAGATGTCAACATGTAGTCAGAGCAAAGATGATTACTTGACATAGTTGTTCTTATTTGATTTAGGAACAGCAGATTTATTTAATCATTTTTATAGATGAATATGCCAAATGCTTATGCCTTAAAGCTACAACTGTATTCTAATGAAACTACTTTATTTTCTTAATAAAAACAAATAATTCTTCAACAGAGGACTGGTATTTTGAATAGCAAGACTTACATCTAAATCTAGTGTGGATTTGAGATGGTCACCAAGTTGCTACTGAAAATTGAGAGGTCCTCCCTGGCAAGGCTGTTGTGCATTCTAAGGAACCACACAGTCAATGATTTATTGCTTTGAAAGTAAGCAAAAGTTACCGTATTTGCCGGCGTATAAGACAACTTTTTTGGCCCAAAAAACATGCCTCCAAATGTACTTACATCTAAATCTAGTGTGGATTTGAGATGGTCACCAAGTTGCTACTGAAAATTGAGAGGTCCTCCCTGGCAAGGCTGTTGTGCATTCTAAGGAACCACACAGTCAATGATTTATTGCTTTGAAAGTAAGCAAAAGTTACCGTATTTGCCGGCGTATAAGACAACTTTTTTGGCCCAAAAAACATGCCTCCAAATGTAGGGGGGTCATCTTATACGCCGGGTGCACTTCAGTTGGGCCAGGAAGGAGCCGCCGCCACCGCCGCTGTTGAGTGAGTGACGCGGGGCCGCGCTGGTCGGGGAGGAAGGCAGGCAGGCAGGCAGGCAGGCGGTCCGGATGGAGGGAGGGAAGCAGAGCCAGCCATGCCTGAGCGGCCAGAGCCCGCCGCCGGAAAGCCACTTCCCTTCCTCCTCGCCCTCCTTGCTGCTGAGCCAGCTGCCCGCTTGCCCGCCTGCCACCGGAGAGCCGCTTCCTCCTCTTCCTCCACTGCCGTCGCCCACCCGGCCGCTTCCCCTCCTCCTCGCCCTCCTCCGGCCTCATCGCAAACCATGAACTTCCAGGCGGGCCCGGGCAGAGCCCCGGGCAGCCACTGACGGCACCGCAGCAGAGCCGTCCACTCTATATTTTGAGTGGAAATGTTGGGGGGGTCGTCTTATACGCCCAGTCATCTTAGACGCCGGCAAATACTACTTTTAGGATCAGGCTTGTCCATGAGGCTTGTACTATGCACTTTTGAGGCCTAAAGGGTCTACCTCAGGTGATAAAGGTGGTGGTTCTGCGCCCAAAGTGACTCCCTGACCCACAATCATTATCTCTTTAGGGAGAGGTGATCATCACACATGTCATCAGTATGCTGATGACAAGCAGTTCAATCTTTCCTTCTCTTCATCTACAGGTGATGCTATACAGGTCCTTGAGTGTGGCCTAACATTGTAATAGACCGGATGAGAGCCAATAAACTGAATCTAGAAAAGATGGAGATTATACTCTTTGAAGGATTGTTGGACCGGTTAAAGCGATATTTATCTGGCATCAATGGGGTTATACTCCACCTGAAAGATCGGGATCTCAGCCTGGGAGTCCTCTTGGACCCAGCTCTCTCTATGGAAGTGCAAATATCTGCTGTGGCCAAGACTGTCTTTTATTAGCTTCAGTTGATTGCCCAGCTGTGCCCTATCTGGGTAAGAAATGTCTAACAACAGTGGTTCATTCATTGGTAATCACTAAAATAGACTACTATAACTCTCTGTAACTCTGCAACACTCCCCTTGAAATCAATACAAAAACTCAGCAGGTTCAAAATGCAGCAACCAGGCTGCTGAAGGTACCAGTAGATATGAATACACATCCCCAGTTTTGGCACACCTTCGCTGGCTCCCTGTTAGTTTCCATGCTCAATTTAGATGGCTTATACTCCACGATGACACAGCAGTGATAAGTAAGAACGATGCAAAAGGAGAGGGGGGGAAACCATTCCAAAAACAAAATGTGAAATGAGTTTCTCAGAACAGTTGCTGACTCATAAATGCCAATGTTCAACACCCTCCCCCTTTCCACTCTTGAATTTAAAAGGGAAGCCTTAGGTGCTTCAGCCTTAAAAACTGAAAAGAAAAAAAAAACAGAATTATTAATTACTGTGCTTAATCTCCACAAGCCAGAAAGCAGCAGCATCATTGACATCAGGATCTAATCTATTCTACTGATTGATTGAATACAACCTTGGCTTTTCATAATAATCTAAAATCATAAACATATGTTTAAATGTGCTAAGCAACTTCCCTAACAAAGCAACACACATCTCTGGTGACTCTTAGAATCATTTCACCACAGGTGGCCTGTCCGTACTGCCCTGCTTTCATCTCATTCTGCCTCACACAGCTAAGTGTGTGAAGAAAGCCAATGGAATGCAGAGACAACAGTTCTAAGTGGACCGTTTCTTTGTTGTTGTTTAGATTAGTGTAGTATATTCTACAGCTGGTTGGAGAATTCAGGGATTTAGGTATCTGGCTGCGGAGCCAGAGGTTGAGAGTTTGGTTCCCTACTGTGATTCCCAAGGGAAGAGCCAGTCTGTGTAGCCTTGGGCAAGCTGCACAGTCTTAGGAGGTCACCAGAAGAAGGGAATGGTATTCTCTACCTAGGAAACCCTGCAAAAGGTCACCATAAGTCAGAATCACCTCGACAGCATGCAATTATTGTATTATTAATCGTATATTCTAGTTTATATGGATATTTTAACATCTTCAGTAACAAACAAGAATATGTGTAGTAGTTGTTGTTTAGTCGTTAAGTCGTGTCCGACCCTTCGTGACCCCATGGACTAGAGCACGCCAGGCCCTCCTATCTTCCACTGCCTCCCGGAGTTGTGTCAAATTCATGTTGGAAGCTTCGATGGCACTGTCCATCCGTCTCGTCCGCTGTCGTCCCCTTCTCCTCTTGCCTTCACGCTTTCCCAACATCAGTGTCTTTTCCAGGGTGTAGAGATGGGCACAAATCACAAAAATAGTGGTTTGTGGCCACCCACACAAACCACCCAAACTTAAAAAAACAAACAAACCATGACTTGTTTTTTTTTAAGTTCATGTCTGGGGGAGGGGAAACTAAGCCCTCCACCCCCTTCCCACTGCCCCTGTTGCCTCCCTACCTGGTCCTGTCTCCTCCTCCTCTGCTGCTGCCATCTTGAGAGACAGTGGACTGGCTTCCCTTCAACTGACAGGTGGGCATGTGCACAGAGACAGCAGGCCCATCTCCTGCAAGGGAAGCTGGGCCACTGTCTCTCAAGATGATGGTGGTGGAGGATGAAGAGGAAGAGGCAATAGGACCAGATAGGGGGGCAACAAGGGCAGTGGGAAGGGGGACAGGGGGGACAAATGAACCAGGAAGTTCATGAAATCATAAAAGAACTTTGTGGTTCAGGTCGATTCAGGTTCACTGGTTTTTACAAACCTGAACCAACCTGAACCAACAAACCAGTGATTTTCCACAAACTTTCTGGTTTGATTTTTAGTTCGTGCCCATCTCTACCTATATGAGGATAGCAAAGCATGTCATGACCTCGTACCTATCACAGCTTCATCTCAGGCCTCACCCAACTGGAACAATACTATGTTCCACAATGGTTTTTCTGATTTCTTACTGATACTTTAAAGAGCCAGTTACTCTAAGCTACAAATGAAGTACTCGATGTGGTGTAGTGGATAGACTGATGGACTACAACTCAGCAGAATGGGGTTCAAATCTCTG